GCCCAAACCGAGCTGCTTGTTACACTTGTTACACGTGACAGATGACTATCAAAGTGGGTCAGGGGTTATTTTCCCTAAGGGTTATCAGCCCTCCAGAGTAAGCAGACACCACTGTTTATCCCACAACAAGTAGGGCCCACTCCCTTCTGATAAGGCTAGTAGCAAATTGTTTCCCTGAAGGAGAGCCCAGGGAGGTCAAGCCCACTTAAGGGTGACCAAGGGCCGCCATCATGAATCTAGGGTCCGCCCTTCTTGTCACATGTATACCTTTAGTTCCACCCCTTCCTATCATGTGCACACCCCTAGCTCATCCCCTTCCTGGTACGCTTTTGTATATCCCCCTCCTATTGCTTGTATTGCCTATTGGACAACCTATTCCTGTGACGTGTGTGGTTACCTGTAATCACACACCCCTCCTAGGTAGATATAAGCCTTGTTTAGCAATAAACAGGGTCTCCGCCCCACCTCACCTCTGGCCCTCTCGGCCCATGCTATGTGTAGACCAGACTGTTGAAATCATGGCCATCCCGGAGTTGAGCTTGCTACCATGAAATGTGTCTGATTTCTTTATTTGACCTCTCCTATCTCTCTCATGCTCTCTATGACTTTATAATTCTTTATATATATATATATATATATATATATATATATATATTGCTATATATATGTGTCCACTTGTTGACACATCAAGTGTCAAAAAAGGACACTCGAACACTTCAAAAAGCAATCGTTTTTGAGATAGGTATTTGTGATATTCAAATAAAAAATCCCAGATGTTTTTATATTCAGCATTTTTTCACACTTGTTTTCCAACCTTATGCATATACATACACACACACACACATATATATATATCTCAACCATACAATTGCGCTTACTGAACCCGTGATTAGTTGTGGGGGGCTGGCATTTCCCCCCACAGAGGTGTACCTGAGTCCTCAAAGTGACATCTTTGCTTGTGTTAGCACTTGACAAAGGACACATCAAGTGTCAAAAAAGGACACTCGAACACTTCAAAAAGCAATCGTTTTTGAGATAGGTATTTGTGATATTCAAATAAAAAACCCCAGATGTTTTTATATTCAGCATTTTTTCACACTTGTTTTCCAACCTTTTAAAGTCAAGCCATCCTTGCTTTCCTTTTAAATTTCCCTGTGCTCTACTAGAAATAGCACTTACACAGAACCAGATCTGCTTTCTAAAAGAAAAATCTGACTTTTCTAATGAGAACGGTAGATTCTCCTAAAGACTTAACAATAACAGTTCTTTTAAATTTCATGTTACAACACGCATTCTGATTCAACTTCTAATTCCCAATATGCACTTGACCTTTCCATAACGCCAGGTAGAAATTTGTGCAACGTCTATTTGAATAGAAAGTGCATCTGAGATTTAGAAATGTTCCGAGCATGCAAGTACAATAGAAATGTTCGGTAACAGCCATAGCTGCGCCATTCAGGTGACATTGAGTGAACTTCGAGATTATACAATGATTTTTTTTTCTTAGTGTCGCAGAACAAACTTAATAGCGAGTGTGCAGGTTGTTCTACCGTCCATGTTCTTTTGCACAGAGAGATTTGCTGAGTGTACGAAGCATCCAGGTCAAATATTGATGCTATTGCTTGCCAATGTCACTAGATGGCGCGAGATGCATCTAAAATAGCTGCCCATCATACATCAGTCCCAAGAGGACTGTCAACAGCATTTGAGTAAATTGCAGTTTGCTTTCTGCAAAAAAGAAGAAAACAATGTACTTTCGCACACTTCTGTACGTTTTGTTTATACACAGACAAATGTTTTATTCTCTCACAATATTTGCAAAAGTCACAAAATTCCTTTGGAAATTGTGCTTTACCAAAAAAAAAAAAAAAGCTTTTTTTAAGTCAATGTAGCCGATTTAAGTATTATCTTTTTTTTTTCTCTGAACCTGATTTTCCTTCTTTTTTGAACCAGTAATGAATACTCTGTTCCGGAGCATCCTGTCAAGCTGCTGCGGGCCCGTCTGTGTTACTTTGAAAGCTCTTTCTCTCAGAGTCTGTAAAGCTCTCAGAGTATATAAACCTCTGCAAGAGAATTAATTAACAACCTTGACCAATGGAAGATAAAGAGCCTTATCTTAAGTCATATAAACAAGCTCAGCCCCAGCCCCACCCATTTCCAGCCTACCTAATCAGGAGCCATTAGATTGTAATTTTTCTGACTCATTTCAGAAAGTAAGCAACGGAGTGGTTGAAAAATATGCCCGCAAACAAATAGAACGAAATCCTATATTACGCTTTGATTGCTTTCTGGGGTGGGGGTGGGGGGATAACTTCAGGATGGCTGGCCCTCCTTTAAATAGTTGAAATTGGTTTACTATTTGTCTTCGTATGTAGATTATAATGATTATTTGTGCCCCTGCTCCCTGTTCAACTAAATACCAATGTTACAAGGTGCCCTGGTGGCGCAGTGATGAAACATTGGACAGCTAACCTCCAAGGCAGCAGTCGGAAAGCCCCAGCGGCTCTGCGAGAGAAAGATGAGGCACTTCAACCCCTTAACGAGTGAGTCTGGAGACCCCGGGAGCAGTTGTAGTCTGTCCTACAGGGCTGGCATTGACTCGTTGGCAGTGCAGTTTGAGTTTGATTTATCAATGTTATGGATGAAGGGAATGAGAAACAAGGCATTCACAGAACTGGGTTGACGCTTGGGAAGTTGTCTTAGTGGCCGAGTGGTGCCATCACCCAAAATAGCACACATTGTGTGGCCCTGAAGCACGGAAATGTCTGTCTTTCTTTCTTTCTTTCTTTCTTTCTTTCTTTCTTTCTTTCTTTCTTTCTTTCTTTTTGCTGTACTGGAGGTCAGAAGTCAAACTCACGGTCATTGCTTTGCTTGTTGACAGCCCCTCACATAGGGCTGGTCTTCCCCCCGTGTCTATCAATTCCACTCTTCTTATAAGACACCGCTCAAGATTGATTAGATTTAGGGCCCATGACCCTCTACATGATAAACAACGCCAACGACTTCTAAACAGTGTCAGGTTTCAGGTGCCGTAGGGAAGACTTTCACAGAGCTTTTCAAGGGTCCAATACAACCCATCACGTACAGGAGAGTCCCTGAGTGACACAAGCAGCTGTGGACAGGACTACGGTCCAGGTTTGAATTCACTCAGTGGTGCCTTAGGAGACAGGCCTGGTGACCTGATTCTAACAGGCCACAGCCGGGAAAACAGGAAGTCCAACCAGTTCTGTTAAGGCCAACAAAGTGGAACTGCAACAAACCTGATTTTCTTTTTTTTTAATGAAAAGATCATTTTCTTGAGGGCTCGTATAGCTCTTATAGCAATCCATACATCAATTGGATCAAGCATCAGGAGGGAGTGGGCGGGAAATAACAGACTGAAGCCTTGGAAGGAGACTGAGGAGGCCGAGGGAGCCCTCCTTAATGTTCGGGCGCAGGTCCATTGGGAAGCACAGGGTCAAGTGAACACCAACAACATCAACGTTGTCAGTTTCCTCTTTGTTCAAGATAATGTACCTTTTAATGTTGAACAACTCAGATGTAAACACAAGCCTTCCAAGTGAGGGGAGCCAGGACCTAAGAAATATGAAGTTTTCACAATGTGTGCCAAGTAACAGGATATACTCCAATTTACAGGAAAGTAACAGAACTTGTTTTTCCACTGTGGGGAAGGGAGTTGATTAAATTTCAACCAACAGGGAAGAGGTCGCATAATCATCCATTATTTACAACAAATGTAACTGGCTTTATTTGCCAAAGGTTTATCTAAATCAGGGGTCCTCAAACTTTTTAAACAGAGGGCCAGTTCACTGTCCCTCAGACCTGTTGGAGGGCCGGAATATAGTTTTTTAAAAAACCATGAACAAATTCCTATGCACACTGCACATATCTTATTTTAAAGTAAAATACAAAAAGGGGCAAAAACACCCAGTGGGCTGGATAACTGTCCTCGGCAGGGCCGCGTGTGGCCCATGGGCCATAGTTTGAGGACTCCTGATCTAAATGATGAAAACTTGAATTCGTAACTCACTCTGAGTAAGTTTTTAAAATAATAGCTTCTTTATCACATTGGAAATATAAGAATTCTAGGTTCCTTAATTTCTGGGAATTTTAGGAATATTCAATTTATGTAAATGCTTACATGTTTCTAGGTTAGTGGAAATAAAGTAATTTTAAGAGATTTTATAATGCAATATAACAATACCATCAGGAGGCAGGAAAATATTTCACACTCACAGAGACATGAATCTACACAGACGATGATCACTGGCCAACATTTTGTTTCCGCAAATGTTGAACTTGTTTCTGGCTATATGTGACACGCATTTTTCCCTATCAGCTCTGAGTTTTGAGATACAGAACGTATGCCATGTGCCACTCTTCACTCTGCTTGTCCATCAAAAAAAATCAGGGTATTTTAATGTAGTGTTAGCTAGCCTGAGGTAGAGGACGTGTATGCTGGCTTTATTCAAAGTGGGTTGTGTTATACTAAGTATTTAGGTCAAGTTACACTTCACATGGTATCCTTTGATCCAAAGATATATTTGAACTGTGGAAATTACAGGAACTTGGAATGTTCTCCAAGTATCTTTTCACCTCTATTAGGAATTGAATAGCAAGCAGGCCAATTTGTTATCTCAAAAGGTGACAGAAATAAGAGTTACTATGCAATAAACTATTGTACATCATTTAAACAGAGCCTGGACAGTTTAGTGGTTATGTGTTTGACTGCTAACCACAGGGTCAACTCTTCAAGCACACTAGCTGCTCTGAAAAAGAAAGAGATTGTCTGCTCCCATAACTGTTTACAACCCCAGAACTCCACAGGCAGCATTCCGCTCTGTCTCATAGAATCACTGGGAGTTAATCCACTGACTGGTAGTCCGTTTGGTACAATAAATAGAGGTTCAAATGTTCTGAAACCCAAAATGGGTCTGTCAGGGTTCAAACTCCTTTATTAAAATGAAAATATTCCAGTCTTGTTATAAGATGGCACAGCTATGCTTACCCGGCAGGGGAGATACCATGATCATGGAGGTGGTTTTCCCAGGGTGAGGTTTATCCACTGCACTCCGGATGTGCTAACCCCTGCGATTTCCCCAATGTGGGAAACTCGACTGCATAATGTGTCATAGTGGGGGACTGAATTCATGCTCTCCCCTAAAAAAAAGATGGCACAGCTCTCCACTTGTGCATAGAGTCTCTTAAAATTTAGCAATTTCCTTAAACAGAACCTTGGGACCAGCCTCACCTATGAAATATTTACCATGAATCATCCATTGACTTCTATTTATTCAAATGTGTTCTGAAATGTTTTGAAGGAAAATTTGAATTGTCAAAATATTTATGAAAATTGCTTGGAAGGCTTACATTTTTGATACTTTAAATTTCCCTCCAGCTCAAGAAAATAAAGTAAAATGTTATTATAAAGCGTGCCAAGACTTAGACTCAGAAAACCGAACACACTCAGCATCTATGAAACGGAAAGAACTCAAGAAAAAATCCAGCCTTTGGTTGCAATATTAAAATATTCTATAGGCAAAATACTGAATGATGCAGGGAGTGTCAAAAGAAGATGGAAAGAATGCACAGAGACATTGTACCAAAAAGAAGTAATACACAATCCGCCGTTTCAAGAACCAATGGTGCTGAAGGAAGAAGGTCAAGCTGCCCTGACCGCACCAGTCAGAAACAAGGATTAAGGGATTGATGGAGTTCCAATCGAAAGGCACTCACTCCTCCTGGTAAGGAAATTTGGAAGACAGCGAGACAGCCAACTGACTGGAAGAGATCCCGATACATGCCCTTGTTTAGCCTATTTGAGACAAGGGGCATGCTCTTCTAGTGAGGCCCTGAGCAGCCTTCACGCTGCAATAAAATAAAGCTCGTTGTTGTGAAAAAGAAAAGAGAGGTGGCTCAACAGAATGCTCAAATTATAGAACAATATCATTGATATCATATGCAAGTAAAGTCTTGCTGCAGATCAGCCAACAATGGCTGCAAGAGTAATTTGATAGGGAGCTGCCCCAGAGGTTCAGGTTGGATTCAGAAGAAGGCATGGAACAAAGAATAACATTGCTGATGTCAAATGGATCTTGGCTGAAAGCAGAGACTACCAGAAAGAGGTTTACCTTTATTTTATTAACTCTTCCAAGGCATTTGACCCTGTGGATCATAACAAGCTATGGATAACCTTGAGAAGAATGGGAATTCCAGGACAATTCATTGTGTTCATGAGGAAATTGTTACATGGATCAAGAGGCAGTTGTGCAAATAGAACAAGAGAATACCACATAGTTTAAAAATCAGGAGTGGTTGTATCCTCTCACCATGGAAGACATGAGAAAAAAATGGGCAGTAAGTCATGCAAAGTCCTCATTGTCACACACAGCACCCCCCCTACACACACACACTCTCTCCCAATGACTCAGTATTGGTCAGTCTCCTCAAGATCTCACTCAGTCTCACTACTCAAGGAAGCATTCTCCAGTTGCACTACCAATTAGTACTCAAAGCACCTTATTTCCTGGTTACACAACTCTTATCTCAATTTCCATTGTAAAAACAAGATGAGCCCTTAGGGCTTAGGGCTTGGGATTGCTTTCATTCAGCATTTGATCTCAGGAGCTTAGCACCATGCCATGATATAAAGGTGCTCACATTTACTGACTAATAAATTAATGAGTAATGAATGCACAAATAAATTCCTACCCAATAATCTCAAACCTGTGAAAGGAATACAGCCAGGATGCTCCTTAGCAGCAAAAATGGTGAGACTTCATCCTTTGGCCATGTTGTCAGGAGAGACCAGTCCTTGGAGACGGACATCATGCTTGGTAAAATCGCGGGGCAGCAAAAATGACCTATCTCTTCAGTAAGATAGATGGACAGCATGGGTGCATCGGGGGACTCAGACATGAAGAACCATTGGGAGGATGGCGCAGGACTGGGTGGAGCTTCGTTCCATTGTACCTAGAGTCACTGTGAGTCAGAACCAACCTGACAGCACCTCACAGCAGCCACAATGAGCTCGAAGCTTCACAGAAGTTTAAACCATCCCTTCTGATTGTAAATCCAGAATATCAGGATGCCGGAGATTTCGTTTAAGGTGTATGACTTGCCTGTTGGCTTCCGGTATTTGCAGTCTCCAAAATTATCTCCAAATTCTGCAGGGCCCGTTCCGTGCAGCCCTCATATTTTGAATGCACCAATTAAATTTTTATTTTTGGAAACTTCCCGACATCCGGAGTCAACGTCCCATCAGGCACCAGTCATAAAGTAAAGTCTGCAGTCAGCTTTTCTTAAGGCAAAAAGGTGACATGTCGCGAATTTCAAAATACACACAAGTTGCACCCCATGTTGTGAGAAATTGCATTGTAACCATTAAGTGCCACGTGACACCTCCTTTGAGAATCTTGGGCATTCAATGCTTCGAACTATTTCAGTGGTCAGATCCATAAAGCAGCATTAAGTGTGATTTATCACAGATTTGTAAAATAGAGAAGGGAAATGTATAAAATGGAAGCAATCATTTCTACACAGTTGGAATTGACTTGATAGCAACGGGCTTGGCATTTTGGTTTGGGTTTGGGGGTATTGTTGTTCAATCCCGCCTGGGTAGTATTCTTATAACAGAGGAAGTGAGACAGAGACATGGGGGACGATGCCATGTGACCTAGCAACTCCAATCCAGACACTAGGAGAGACCAGAAACTCTGGACACCTGGTGAGCGATCATGACCCTGCTAATACCTGGGTGCCAGTGGTTCCTTCCTCCGTCAGGTGAACAGACATTGTGAGGAGATAGGTGGAAGAGTCAAAAGGCACACGTGAAACGCTTCCTCTGATCATAGCAGGGCTTCGAACTGGTTCCGCATGATTCAGTCAGTAATGGCCAATAAAGCTACACCAGAGCAGCCCCGGATTTTTTTAAATGTGGATGAACCCAAGAAAAAATATGGATTGAAATTCTGCTAGAACAAATCTCCCTCTTCAGAAAAAGGGCAGTGTGCCCTTTTGAAACGTGCATGAACCAGCATGCGAATCATACGGACTGTGCTGTGGTAGTTGGATGATTTTATGCCCATGGGGGACAGAGTCAAGTCTGTCAATCAAGTGCTAGTGCGATGACACCTCCTTGGGGTGTGGCCGTTTATGCGAGTAAGGGACTCTGGGAACTGCCTCTTGGCTCTGCTCCTCCATCTTCCTGCCTGCTGGCACTCTGTCTGTCTTGACTGACCATGAGAGCGAATGGCGCCCTGCCATGTTCCCACAGAATTGGATCCATGGGACTCTACCCACCACCTGTGATCTCCCTGGTTCCCAGGTCACCTTTCTGTATCACCAGTATGTCTACCTGAGTCTGAAGATGGATTTATGGCGCAGCTTTGTGCTTGTGGACTTGGGGTGGACTGGGCTGGCATGCCTTCTTGATATAGAATTACTTCTTGATATAAAGCTCTTTCTTATTCATAGATGGGCGTCTCTGGATTTCTTTCTTAAAAAACCCTGCCTACCATAACAGCCAAATCTCCTGCATGGAAAATAACAATGTGCAGTGCAAAGATGGCTCCAGGCAGCACCTCTTGGGCTGTATGCGCCTCTCCCCAGGCCCGACAATAATCCAGGCTCCGCAACAGGCTCTTCCAGGGCTTTGACCGACCATTGTTCTTCTTCTCGACAGCTTTCTGGATTACCCTCATTTTAAAATTGTTATGTTTTTCACTTCAGTAAGCTTTTGGTTCTCTTTGCTGGCCATTTCTGAACTGGTTGTGACTGGGTTGTGCCCTGTTAGATATGTTTGCATTCATTAGCACAAAAATAATACATCTTCACATGATGTCATTTCTACCAACGCTAGGGCCAACCCTTAAGCTCAAATGCTCTTTTAGTCGTTTAGCCTAATACCTTCAGTACAGTTTGCTTGCCTAGCACATGTGTGTTAGGCACGGGAAGACTATGTGCTTTGAAAAAGACAAAGAACCCCCAATGATATGATTAGAAAAACAAAGTGAAGGGGTGGAGTTTAGCCTGTCAATCAGGTCGCAGCTTGATGACCTCATTTGGAGGCACTAAGGAGATAAATAGCTCTTTGGAGGCAAGACATTATATACACTCCCTGCGCAACGCTGATAGAGCCAGAGCCCTGGAGCTGGAGGAGCCACGTGGAGACACACACCAGCACTAAGATGCTTTCACAGCCACTGGATGTCCAAGAGTTTCCACCCACTGGCCTGTGATCTTCCTGCATTCAGTGTCATTAGGTGTCTGTGCGAGTCTAAAGAGGAACTTATGGCCGAGTATCGCTGTATGGGGTATTATGGGATTTATGGACTTGATCTGGACTGGCCGGGATGTTTTCTTAATGTACAATTGCTCTTTGATATAAAGTTCTCTTACACACACACACACAAAGAAAGAAAAAGGCAAAGAGAGGGATAAGAAATTAGAACACACAGCTTTGATATTTTCAAAAATATAAGTAAGAACAGAAATTGGGATAATCACATGCTAGAAAAATCATCCGGCTTTGAATTGTTTCTTTTGCTCCCAATGCCTTGCCAGTCATACAACAAACAAACAAAACACAACCAATAAAAAGTAAGTACAGCGGGGTTGGGATGGGAGGTGGGTATGGGGGAAAACAATAAATACATCCAGAAACAAAAACCTATTCTCCATGATGTTTGAGCATGTTTAAACAGGAGTGCATTCCAACAAAAAAGGTATACAGTGAACCCTCGCCACTTCGCGCTTCGACTTCCGCGGCTTCACTCTATCGCAGTTTTTGGGTAACAGCGCATGCTCTGTCATTACTGCCACTGATTGGCTCATACTGTACACGCTTCTGTCTGCATCGCTACGTATCGGAGCTACATATCAGATGCATTTTTGCTTTTGTACAGTGTACTGTAATTGTTTGCGATTTTTAAGAAATTTTATCTAAGCCCTATGATGGCTCCTAAACGAGCTGCTTCTTCTAAACCTTCTGACAATAAAAATAAGCACCAGAGGAAGATGCTTACCATCCAGGAAAAGGTAAAACTTTTGGATATGATCAAAGATGGCAAGAAAATCGTGGAGGTTGCACGCCATTGATTACAGTATTTGTAAGAACTATGTATAATAATACTGTATGTGAAATATGTAATACTATAAACTAG